TTTTTTTTCTTACTTACCTCTTTGAAATCTTGGGTGTGTCTTATACACCGAATCATCCTCCACCCCCTCATCCCAACGGAGGCATTTTTGCTTATCCCAGCCCTGCTGAAGCCTGCAGAGTGCTGTTGAGGCCTGAGGGAAGGCAAAAACTTTTTTTTTTCTTACTTACCTCTTCGAAATCTTGCGTGCGTCTTATACACTGGTGCGTCTTATAGTCTGAAAAATACAGTATTTCTCAAAGTAATAAAAAGATGGGTTACAAATAAATAAATTTGTATACAGCTCATTTCATTACAAGGGATCTTATGCTGTATGATTAAAAGTTGAGTAAAGACTCTTCCAAAAATTGCTAAATTTTTTTTTTTCTTTATAGGTATTTGACTGAATCTTATGGTAGTGGACAAGATATTGATGACAGGATTGTAGAAGGTATTCATACTTACCTTTAAATTTATTTTTGTACATTAATTTTGTCTACTTAAGGAGCAAATGTCATATTCATTACATTTCTGTAAGTGAAAGGCTTGTAATGTATGATATTTCTCATCTTACTAGACTCTGAAAAGTGTAAGTGCTCTGTTGTGTTGCCACTGGCTAAAAAAGCAAGATACAAAATTTTGATTCTATAAAATATCCGTGCAGAAGAGAGGGCCTAAATGTAACTTTTCTTGAAGATGAGAATTGCATTTTGGGGGGAACAGGGTGGGGTGGGGAGACAGATTTAATATTTCTTTTCTTTTCCTATTAAAAAGGATTAGGCTTCTTTTACGGTTCACAGTACCATTTTTGCAAGTTTCCTGTTTCTCTGAATGGCAGGAAATCACACTATCGATTTTTTGAATGAGTGTATTGCAACGGGCTCCAGGGACCAAAAAAAAAAAAGAGTTTGGGAATCTCAGATTACCCATCCTTGAAATCTTTTTTTTCTAGTTTCTTTAGAAAACAGAGGCTTGAAAATAAGGCCAGCATAAGGAGAACATGTTTCTGGGCAACTGTATATATGCAAGCACTGCTGGAAGATTTTTGCCAGCACATCTTGCAATGTGGTCCCAGTTTTGTTGTGGAATGAGAAACGTGGTGAATCAGGCGACCACTGGAGACATCGAGAAAGCTTTTGTGTCAAGCCTTTGCCACGAGCATGAGGAGACGAAATCTTTTTTTCTGAATTTAAAGGCGCGTTTTCTACCCGATTCTCTTGGAAGCCTTTTCTGTGTGTCAAATGTATTTGCTGATGAGCAAAGTATCGTGTTGACCCTATCTGTTCCCTTAAATGTCTTCGTAAGAATTGCTTACCTGCAAACAGTTTCTAATACAAGAAGCATGGTGCTGTTTGCCATTTCTTTGAAGAAGTTATTTGAAATGGGACTTAGTTCAGAAAGCACTGATCTTAGTGGCTTACTTTGGGATCAGAAGCAATAGTTTAACAATAGCTTATTCCGGTATCAAGGCCTTAAAAGAAAGGAAGCTATATAATAAAGAAGGAAAGAATTCCATTACTTTTTCCTTCCCTTATGGCACTACAATTCTTTACTTTGTGACAAAAGTAAATACATTCTGTCCGAAGTATTCAGCTGAGCTATTAAACTGTAGTGGAGGTTATAGATCAATGGTGCGTGTGTTTGTGTGTGGATTCAGATGAATGAGTGGAGCGTTGTTTGAGAAATGCAAGGTCTATGATATGTTTCCTTGCTCAGTGGCAAAATGCTTTGAGGCTACGAAGGACTAGCTTAGCCTGAGCAATCTTCCTTTGATGGACTTCACAGCCAGGGCTTACTGCAAAGCAGTGCTTCCAGGAAAATAATTGAGAATGATATTGCTTAATTACAGCGGAAATATATAAGTATTCCATTATCCATGGCACCTATGAAAGTGGCTGACCATTGGGCATAGTGTCTGAAGCTGCATTCCCAACACTGGTACCCGTAGGTATTTCATTTTGGGGATGGGGAAGCTTGAAATAAATGCCTTATCCAGGCCATCTGCTCTTAATACACATTTGCTCCCATTTTTTGTTTTAAGCACATCTTAACCTGCATGGATGCATTATTCCTACAGAAGGACTTACTCACCAAGCCTTTTTGTAGTGCGTGTATATATGTGTTTGTACCTGTAACCATCAAATCTTTGTGTTGCAGTTCTGCGCATTTTCCTGGCAGGTTGGATAGTTTGAAAAGGTCACTTGCCAACTCAACTTGCTTTAACTGTTACAGACAATCAAAACACACACACAAAATCTCCCCTCCACCCCAGGAATCCGTATTTATCTTTATGATTTACAAATTCAGAAATAGTTTCTTTTTTAACCTTAGCTTTACCTCCTTAATGGCCAATTCCTTTTTCTAATACTATGTCAGTTACATAATACTATACGTTTTTCCCCTCAAGGGGGAAGTGCATTCATGGGACTAAATGATCAGTTTTGAGTTGAAAATCAAGCATTGCATACAAAGTTAGTCCTCTGTTCCCAACCGAAAAAATTTGAGAATGGCAGAATTGTTTATTCAAGAAGGTGTAGCTAAATAGATTTCTACTGCCACTATGGCAATATATAGCTAGCCCTCAGTTTAGAACCATTTGTTGTTCAAAGTTACAATGGCACTGAAAGAAGTGACTTATGATCAGTCCTCACATTTATGCCTATTTACAAGCATCCCATGGTCAAGCAATCCAAAATCAGGCGCTTAGCAGCCAGCATGTGTTTACGATGGTTGCAGCTTTCCTAGAATCACGTGATCACCATTTGCAACCTTTTCCCGCTGGCTTCTGACAAGCAAAGTCAATGGGAAAAGCCGGATTTGATTAATGACCACATGATTTGCTTAACAACTACAGTGATTTGCTTAAGAGCCTTGTAAAAAAAAATTGTAAAATCGGGTGCAACTCCCTTATCAACTTCCTGGCTTTAGCAATGGAATTCTGGTCCCCTGTTGTAGTCATAAGTTGAGGACTACCTATATAAGTGTTTCTTCAGTTT